TCATTACTGCCACAATGTTTCTAGCACCTATTCCCACCCTAGTTCAGGCCTTGATAGCCTTTAAAATTAAGACCATCCTAACAACTTCTTGGTTGAGATGTTTGCTTCTGGTCTAGCCCCTCTCTAACCAACCAACCGACCATCCTTCACACAGCTACAAAAATGATTGTTCCTACAGACCTGGCCAAATCATTCCCCTTCTCAAATGCTTTCAGGAATACCCTATAGACTTTAGAACAAACTTCTCTGCATAGCATTTAAAGCCCTCTGCTATCTGGCTCCAACTCATCTTTTTCAGATTCATTTCCAAATTTCCCATTTTCATGAGATTGCTCTTAAAGAGCAGGGACTACACCATTTTGCTTTCGTATCCTCCGCACTGAGTACATGTCTTGGCACATGGTAGGCATCTAAGATATGTTTGTTGATTGATTGTGCTTCATGGTCTACATTTCAACTCAACTAGAGTACCAGCTGTTCTCTGAACTCACCCTACTAGCTGGCACCTCTATGTATTTACACAGACCATCTCTCATGGCTGAAATGTCCTCCTTCATCTATGCCTTATCTGTACTCAAGGCTCAAATCTGAAAATTTAAAACATTCCTCCATATGACTTTTTTTTAATAACTTGTGATTCTTCTTTTGAAAACTGTTTGTCTATATCCTTTGACTACTTCTCTTTTGGTGAATGGCTTCTGGTCTTATAAGTTTCCATTAGCTGTCTATACAGCTTGTATATCAAACCTTTAGCAGAGATGTTTTACACAAAGATTTTTTTCCACCAGTCAGCTGCTTACGTTCTTATCCTAGATGTATTGGTTTTGTTTATTCAACAGCTTTTCAATTTCATTTAAACACAATTACATATTTTATCTTTTGTGATAGCTTCTATCCTTCATTCACTAAAGAATTTAGCTGTATAATCAAGTGTTTGACAACCTTGAAAAATAAATTAGTAAGAAAGAACTCTTTATTTGAGAAAAACTGCAGGGAAAGCTTGAAAGCAGTCTGGCAGAAATGAGGCTTGGACCAACACTTTACAACACATTCTATGATACATTCTAAAAGCATACGTTACCTAATACTAAAGATCATACTATTACAAAAAATTAGAGAAGAAAGAGATAATGTACCTTTCATAGCTATGGAAAGGAGAGGCATTCTTAACCAAACCAAGGGATAGAGGCAATTGCAAATGATAAAATACTTAACTTTGATTACATGAAATGGAAAGGGATAGAGGCAATTGCAAATGATAAAATACTTAACTTTGATTACATGAAACAGAAAAACTTCTTCACTACCAAAATTGATACACCTAGGATAAGAAACAAAGTGACTGAAAAGGAAAACAAAAAATCTTTCTATCAAATATCTCTGATAAGGGTTTGGTATCTAGGATATATAAATAATTAATAGATATTTACATAAGATCAAAAGCCATTCCCCGATAGATAAGTGATCAAAAGACCTAAAAATTGCAAACTATGAACCACAAGAAAGAATACTCCTCCTCATCACTACTAATAAGAAATATTCAAATCCAAACCAGCCTGAAATTTCACCACACAGGCTGAAAATTGGCAAATACGACAAAACATGGGAAGATTCAGTGCTGGAAGATCTGTGGGAAAAGAGGACAGTTGGACATTGTTGGGTAGAGCTATGAATAGTAATAATGATTTTGGAAAGCAATTTGTAATGATGCACATAAAGTACCTAAAACGTCTGTACTCTTTGACCTAGAATTTCCATTACTAGGCTTATGCCAAAGACGTTATTGATGAGAAAGTTGTCATGCACACCAAAATATTTACAACAGCACTTTTTTGTGATAGCAAGGAATTAGAAACAAAGCAGAGAAGCAATGAATGGGATGAATATATAGAGAAGCGTGGAAAGATCTACACGAACTGATGCAGATTGAACTAAGTAGAGACAAGAAAACAAAATACATATTGACAACAACAATGCAAATGAGGAAATAAGTACACACACACACACACACACACACACACAATATAAAATGAATGCTGAGAAGCCGTTCTCATTCTAGCCTTATGCATAAGTGGGAGGACCACAAGTTTTGCACGTTACACATATTTTCAGACTTTTTGATGCATGAATCAGTTACGGTGATGTTTTTCCTCTTTTCCTTTTTCCTCTTCAAAAAATACTATGTTTATATGGGAGAGATTTCTGGGAGGGATTGGGGAAAAATACTTTGGGAAATAATCGTTAAAAACAAAGATACCAGGGGCAGCTAGGTGGCACAGTAGACAGAGCACCTGCCCTGAAGTCAGGAGGACCTAGGTTCAAATCCAGCCTCAAACCAAACACTTGACACTTACTAGCTGTGTGACCCTGGGCAAGTCACTTAACCCTGACTGCCTTACCAAAAAAAAAAGACCACCAAAAAAACCTAATTAGAACAAAAATATTACTTTAAAAAAAGAAGAACTTAGCCCTTACCCAAAGCTATGCAAGGTATAGGATCTAATTTTCTTCTATTTTTTTATGGTATAATCTCTATTCAGGACACATATACATTTTGAATTTATTAGAGAATATATTCCTCAAGTATTTAAGATGTTCTTTATTTGTTTAAAGAGCATTTGAAATTGAATCTGTACAAATATCAACTGTACTTTCACTGACTCCCAAATATTTTATGCATTTTGCAGCTATTTTGAGCGAGATTTCCCTATTGTTGCCTCTCAGAATTTGTTATTATTATACAGAAATGTAGTTTATTTCTGTGGGTTTATTTTATAGCCTGCAACTTTGCTGAAGCCATAAATTGTCTCAATTAGTACATTAGTCTAAGCCTCATTTATGCTTTTTAGGTTTTCCAGTAGTTCTTATGAGATAGTCCTTTCCCAGATAATATACGTTTTGGGTTTTATCCAATTCTAGGTGACTGAATTCCATTATTTGTTATTCTTCCTTTTTTAGTTAGTTCTATTGATTAACTTTTCTATTTAACAATCAGCAACAAATGGTTTTGATAATTGTTGTTTTATAGTACAGTCTTAGGTCTAGAAATGTTCTTTCTCTTTCATTCTTTCTTTTCTCATCTTTCTCTTGATATTATAGATCTTTGGTTCCTCCAAATGAATGTTCTTCTTGTTATTATAATACAGCTCTTTAAAGTATCCCATTCATGGTCTGATTAGCATAACATGAAATCTATAAACTAACTTTTGCAGGACTATTATTTTTATTATATTGGCGCCTAGCCATGAGTGGTGATTATTTCTCTAGCTAAATTTTTTTTTCTTTTTTCCCCAAATATTTTATTTTTTATAACTACAAGTAAAATTATTTAACATTCATCTTTTTAAAATTTTGAATTCCAATTTTTCTCCCTCTCTCCTTCCCCTCCTCCCTCATTGAAAAAATAAACAATTTTATACAGGTTTTACATATGCAGTCATGTAAAACATATTTCCATATTAGTCATGTTGTAAAAAAAAATATGCCTCAATCTGTATTCAGATTCCATCAATTCTTTCTCTGGAGGTGGATAGCATTTTCCATCATAAGTCCTTCAGAATTTGTCTTTGATCATTGTATTGCTCAGAATAGTTAAGTCATTCATAGTCGATGGTCATACAATATTGCTGTTACTGTGTACAATGTTTTCCTGGTTCTAATCACTTCATTTTGCATCAGTTCACATAAGTCTTTCTAAGTTTTTGTGAAAAATATCCCCTTCATCATTTCTTATAGCACAATAGTATTCCATCTCAATTATATACCACAGTTTGTTCAGTCATTCCCCAACTGATGGGCATCCCCTCAATTTCCAATTGTTAGACACCACAAAAGAGCTGCTAGAAATGTTTTTATACATATAGGTCCTTTTCCTTTTTTAAAAATCTCTTTAAAATACAGACCTAGTAGTGCTAGGTCAAAGTATTCTTTATTTCTTTAAGAAGCAATGTATAATTTGATCTATAGAAATATTGAATGTAGATTGACTCTTAAGTATTTTCTGCATTTTATAATTATTTTGAATGGGTCTTCCTTTTCTATTATCATCCCTTGGACCTTGCTTATTGTTGTTATATAGAAATGCTGTTGATTTCTATGGATTTATTTCACAGTCTTCCACTTCACTCACGTCTTTGTCTCAAATAATTTCTTTGCTGATTTCCTAAGATTCTGTATGTAAACCATCATGCTATCAGCAAATAGGGATCATTTTTATCTCCTCTTTGCTTATCTTTATGCCTTTCATTTTTAACACCTGTTTTACTACAATTGCTAACATTTCTAGCACTGTATTAAATAACAATAGCAGGGAAATGAGGCATTCATGTTTTACTTTCACCATATACCTTTCTCTGGATAATTATATCACCTGAAATTTTAAATCTTCTGGGATCATGATAATAATACTCATTACTATAGCACTTAATAGTATGCAAAGCACTTTACGTATACTATCTTAGTGAAACCTCAGGATGGCCCTTAGAGTTAGCTTTATTATCCCCATTTTACAGATGGGGAAAACAGGCTCAAGCTGATTAAATGAGGTCACACAGTTTGTAAAAAAAATATATATATATGTTACATATACATATTATATTATATATATATATATATATTACATACACATATTATATAATATATATATATATGGCCATAGGGCATTGCTATAAAATTATTTGAATCATTAAAAATTGGGCTTTTGAGGCAGGAAACAGCTTAAGATCAATGAAATGGCTGTGAAGAAGCACAGTTGTTTAACTGTCTTGTAAAACAGACTGTTAACCATTCAGTGTGATTCCAACACAGTGACCCAAAGAACAAGAAACCAAAACCCAACTCTAATCCACTTGTCTGAGACCTCTCAGGAATGACCAGGGTAGAGGCTTGAGGGAGACTCAGGGAGCTCAGAATTGTGTGCAGGTGTGCACTTCACAGATCCCTAAGGTGTCCCTTTCCTTTTCCTGAGTTTTCAGGGGCTTGGAGCAAAAGGGGAAAGTCACCTTCTCAGTTCCACCTTGGGACTTCTTCACCAGCAGCTGGAAGGTGCACGGTACATCACATGACTGCCCTGGCAACTCAGAGAAAACTGAGCTAGGTCTGGGAAGATGTCTGGGAAGCCAAAGCCGACTGCAGGAAGTAGAGGCAGAAGGTGGTTACAGAGAGCAGCTGAATAGACCCATCTAGTACGGGGGCGTGCCATCACCGTGAGATTCAACAAAACCCTGCGTCCCCATTTCTCCCCTTCCCTCTTTCCTCGGAGCACTTGCTAAGGAAATGTCTACTAGTTTTGACCTTGCTTGTCCTTTTCTGCTCTCTCCCCCCCCTCCCCCCTCCCCCCTCCCCCATCGTTGGGAGGAAGGCTAGAGGAGAAGGGGACAGCCAGTTTTCCATTTGACCATCTTTTACTCTTTTTTGGGGGGGGGTGGGGGGGTTGCAATGCTATCTGAGTCTGTGAATATATTACACTGTCATTAACAGTGACTTGTTCACTCCTATGAATTTAGCAGGAAGTCGTGAGTGTGAGGAGCAAATCCAGTCCAAGCAGTGGGGCCTGCTCCACTTCGGTAAGGGAGGGGTTTTTGGTTTTATTTTTCAATCTGAGGTAACTTGTGGGTATATTCTAGGTCATATCGCTATACTCTAGCGAACGTGAGGCCGAGCACTTACCGGCGGAGGCGAAAGAGAGTAGAGGGATGAGAAGGCATGAGCAGGGAGAGTAGGCCATTCACGGGTAGCTGGAGCACCATCTGGTGGCCAAACAATATACTACACCCTCCCACCTGGTTAAGGCCTTTGTGGATCACATGACAGCCTGCGGCTGTCTGTGAGAACAACTATCAGGGTTATGTGTATTTCTAGCACTGGCCACACAAACATACCACAATGGGTGCATCGTGGAGGTTTGCCTGGGATTTTACAATTTTGATTTTCCTTCTCATTATTTTTGTTTCTTTTAAAGCAGGTCACAGGAGTGGTAAGCACATTCACCCTAGCCGGTTTTTTTTTTTTGGCCTTGATTTTGAGTTTTGTAGGAAAATTTCAGCAAGAAGACCCTTCCAGCAATGATCTATGAAGGCTGTTCTATATCTGATTTCACATGTCCTGGGAACTTCTGTCCCTGGTACATAGAGGTCATGTGACTCAATCAGAATAAGATTTAGAGTTGAAGGGGACCTTTATTTTACAGGTGGCTTTTTCTGAGTTCCAGAAAAGTGAAATAATTTGGTTGAGATAGGGAGGATTAACAGACAAATTAGTTACAATCAGGTCATGTGACTCCAAAGCCAGCATTTTGTCCACTTTATGCCAGTGGCTCTTAGGAACTTGCCCAGATTCACAATGCTGCTTACATGTCACAGTTAGAATATGAACTTAGATTTTCCTGGTACCAACACTAACGTTTTACCTATAACATCCTGCTACCTGTACTACTATCCTATCGTAAAAAAAGAAAATACATTGATTACTGTTAATTTATGAACCTGGCCTTGATTCATTTCAAGATAGCCCTCAGATCACAAGAGACTTAAGATTATTCAAATTTTGCATCAACTTTTAATAACAACAAGACCTTTTGTAGTTGAGGTCCCAGTATATTGCAAATATTATTGTCTCACAGTGGATGTGATCTCATCAATGTGTGCTCCATTGATGTAGGTCCCAACTCATCCTCCTTATCTAGCCTGTAAGACTCCCATCCATGGTCTTTCATAAGTTCATCACAAGGGGTTCACCCAACGTCTTTGTGGCCCTTCTAGTTTTCTCTTGATATGGCACCCACTAGCAGTATTCTGGATATCTGTTATCCCTTCTTGCCACATGTTTGGCCTGTCTTCTTTTTCAGTCCTATCTGCTATGACGTTTTCATAGTTCTTAATTTGTGATGTGTTGCAGTCTGCTCACACCCCCAAATGTTATTCAAGATGCCACCTTTTCAAGGCTTCTAGGCAATCTAGGCATGACCTTTCCTCATCCCCTAATCATTCACAAAATCAACACATCATTAGAAGCTGTTCTCTTAATCCTTCCAGTGTCCAAATACCATCTCAACATGTGTGCAAACCAGCTGCTTGGAGCCAGTTTTATTTTTCCTAGTTCAGATGCTTTTCATAAAAGCAAGTATTTGTTTTCTTCTCTTCTTAGAAATCAACAATGACCTTGTGGCATCAATATGTGAGCTAGAAAGTAAATAAATAACAGTTATGATTTCTGGTCCATTCCCATTCTGGCCCAGAGACTTAAAGCTGCTCCTGACTTTGGATGATTTGGGACTGGCCAATTTGCAGTGTTGTCATGTGAGATGCGTCCAAAGGATTCCTGGGAAATGTGTACCATAAGCTTGGTCTCTGGAGCCCCCAGTGGTCCTGGGCTCCTTATAAAAAGCCTCCAGGACAATTGGTATCTCTCTTGGCTTTTGCTTCACAGGGGCCATCTATATCAGGCAGGGGCAAGCCAGAAGAGCTCATCCTGCTGTTAGCCACCTGCTCCAGCCTGACCTGGTCTGCACCTGCTGTCTTTCCAAAGCCTGAAATACCTACTCTCTTGGAATGATAAAACTGAAGGCCTTTACAAGCTGCAGAAGAGAAACTGAAAAGTCTACTCCTCTGTACAGATGGCGGGGGGAGGGGGGCGAAGAGGGATGAACATTAACTAGAAATATAGTTGTTGACAATTTTCAGTTATCGATCAAAGGCAGACTTGTGCCTGCATTAGATATGCATGTATCCCCCACATTTTATATAATAATCATATTGAAAACCAGGCAGAGATTCCAGTGACAAGAATGAACATGATCTTCAACTCTGATCCTGACTTAAATTTGTTCTCAGAGCTGAGAATATGGAATAAAGCCAACTCCCACTGATTCAGACTAAATGGTATGAGGTCAGGCTGAATTAAGGAAAAGTTTGAATTATGGACTATTTTTCAATAAAATGCCATTCCAAGTTAGTAACTCAGGATGGTCTAGTGTATAGAGGGCAGATGTGGGAGTCAGGATGACCTGGGTTCAAGTCCTTTCCCTGACACACACTGGCTGTGTGACCATGCCTAAGATTACAAATTGGAATAATGTTGTCAACGTACATTGGTTGCAATTTCCACACCACGGGTCTCCCCATCCTGATGGAATCATAGGTCAGGACAAAACCAAGAAATAAACACCACTCCAAAACAAAGTTTTTAAGAAACAGTATCTGAAACTAATAGCTCTATTCTGTTTTTGCTATTGCAATTCCTAAAAAGTGCTATTTATACAATCTTCTATTTGTAGAGAAAACAATCAAGGAAGTCCTTTAAAACAATTACTAAGTAGCTTAAACATTCCCACTTCAGTCTTTTTTAACACTAGCCATTAAATCACCAATGCCTTTATTCACACTAGTACAGAGGTAAACAGGAGCCTAGAAAAAGTCGAATTGTAACAAATTCTCAGCTAGTATATTTGACAATAATGAGAATTTTTTTTTTTGCAACTTGCTTTATTAGGATTAGCTCTCCATGACTGTTGTTGACTGGGATAAGGACTCATAGACATTGTCATCCAGCAATGTGGCTCAATGTAAAGAAAATAATAATAATAAAATAATGATGATGATGATATAGTGCCTACTATGTTCCAGGCACTATGCATCCTCGCATCAACCCTGGGAGGTAGGTGCTGTTATTATACCCAGTTCATAAATGAGGAAACTGAGGCTTAGAGGTTCAGTGACTTGCCCAGGGTCACATAGCTAGCAAGATTTGGAATTCAGAGACTTTCAATCTGGCTTGAATGATTTTTACCTAAGTGACTGTTGACAAATTGCAACTTTGTATCTTCATCTGTAAAATGTGTATAATAACATATAAAAATAATAACAATAAATAAAATGTGTATGATAATACTCTCACCATGTACCTCACAGAGTTATCTTAAGGAAAAAGCTGTAAATCTTGACGCATTCCAGACTTAAGGTCACCATCATCATAATTGACCTGTAGATAATGCTGTAATGTTTGCAAAGAGCTTGACATTTATTACCTCATTTGAGCCTCAAGGTAACATTGTAAAGTAGGTCCTGTAGGCATTTTGGCCATTTTACAGATGAGCAAACTGAGGCTCAGAGAGGTGGCATGACTTGCCCAGGGACACACAGCAAATAAGTAGCAGGTACAAGATTTGAACCAAGGTCTTACTGCCGCCAAAGTCCAACACACTCCGTGATGCCTCCACCTTCTCTTCAGTCTATGCCTATGCTCTAGCCACTTAGCTTTCTGGTTCCTCAGGAGAGATTCCACTAAATATTGCTTTCATATTCCCTGCCTCCCCCCCCCCCCCCCCCCCCCACACACACACACACACAAAACCATATAGAGTTGACAAGTACTTAAATTTTACCAGGACCAATTTAATCAGGATAAACAAGGCTATGTCAATTTAAACAAGCAGTCTAATTGATTTTTCCCCCTCACTGGACTGACTGGCTGTTTGACTGAATTGACTCAATTGAGGGTTTGCTGTGGCTAGCCACTGCTCTTAAACTGCAAATTAGAGAGTTAGAATAATCTCAGAAAATGGCAAGGAATGACAATAAGGAAAAACAGGGGATGGCCACTGGTTCACCTACCCATCCATCAACAAATACTGACAGCTTGTAAGGTATTCCAGTCACTATATCTGATACAGGAATTACATGGCCCTTGCCTTTAGGGAACTTCCAGTCAATTCCAGTTAGAAAGATTGGTGGAGTTTATTTTGGAGGAAGAGGGGGAAAAGGGGTCTGGACCTGTGTTTTCACTAGTGTTAGGAGTTTCTTTTCACTCCAATAAACTCATATAACATCATAGTCTCAGGGAGCTACTTGGGAATCACTCCATTTGAACCCATGTCTCCCTAAGTCTAAGGTCACTTATGGCACCAGCTTCCAAAGTGACAAACTTGAAACTGGAACTCTTGCAGTGGACTGATCAACCTCCCTGAGCTGATAACTGGTTTTTCTTCTTGTCTTTTTGTATAAGCCCTGGATTGTGTTCAGTTTTCTTAGCCAATAACAAGATGTTTACTGGGTAGTATCATTTGCCTTTAGCCAATGGGAAAAGCTCTATAATTCTCTGTACCTGATTAAGGACTCATTCACAGCACAGGGAGACTGCAGGAAATTTCCTTAACATCCAATACTTTGTGTGTGCAATTTTCACATGATGTCAAGTCTTTTAAAAAAAATATTTTATTTTTTCTCAATTACAGGTAAAAACATTTTTAACATTTGTTTTTTAAAAATTTGAGTTCCAAATTCCCTTACGCCCTCCCTCAACTTCCCCCTCCTTGAGAAGGCAAGCAATTTGACATAGATTATACATGTGCAGTCATGTAAAACATTTTTCCATATTGGCCAGGTTGAAAAAAAAACCAGTCCCTTCCCCCCCAAAAAAAAACCCCAAGAAAAATAAAGACAGTAAAAAAAAAATATGCCTTGATCTGCTTTCAGACTCTGTCAGTTCTTTCTTTGGAGGTAGATAGCATTTTCATCATAAGTCCTTCAGAATTGTCTTGGATTGTTATATTGCCAAGAATAGTTAAATCATTCACAATTGATCACTGTACAAAAATGTGTTACTATTTTCCTGGTTCTAATCACTTCACTTTCCATAAGTTCACATAAATCTTTCCAGATTTTTCTGAAACCACTCCCTTCATCATTTCTTATAACACAATAGTTTTCTATCACAATCATATACCACAATTGTTCAGCCATTCCCCAATTAATAGGCATGCCTTCAATTTCCAAGTCTTTGCCACCACTAAAAGAGCAACTTTAAATATTTTTGTACATATATGTCCTTTTCCTTTTGCTTTCATCTCCTTGGGATACAGACCTAGTAATGGTATTGCTGGGTCAAAGTTTCACAGCTTTTTGCACTCCAAAACGGTTGAATCAGTTCACAACTCCACCAAGAATGCATCAATGTCCCAATTTTTCCATATCCTCTCCAACATTTGTCATTTTCTTTTTCTGTTATATCACCAGTCTGAGAGGTGTGAGGTGGTACCTCAGTGTTGCTTTAATTTGCATTTCTCTAATCAATAGGGATTTAGAGCTTTTTTTCATAGGACTAGAGATAGCTTTGATTTCTTCTTCTGAAAACTGCCTATTCATGTCCTTTGATCATTTATTAATTGGGGGAATGAATTGTATTCTTATAAATTTGACTCAGTTCTCTATGTATTTGAGAAATGAGGCCTTTATCAGAGAAACTTGCTGTAATTCCACCCCCCTCCAGTTTCCTGCTTTCCTTCTAATCTTAGCTGTATTGGTTTTATACGTACAATTTTAAAAAAATTCAATGTATTCAAAATTATCCATTTTATATAGTGTAATGCTCTCTATCTCATTTGGTCACAAATTCTTCCCTTATCCATAGATCTGACAGGTAACATATTCCATGCTCCTCTAATTTACTTATGATATCACCCTTTATATCTAAATGATGTACCCATTTTGACCTTATCTTGGTAGATGGTGTGAGGTGTTGATCTATACCTAGTTACTGTTCAGTTGTTTCAGTTGTGTCCAACTCTTTGTGATCCCATTTGGGGTTTCCTTGGCAGAGATACTGAACTGGTTTGCCATTTCCTTCTTTAGCTTGTTTTACAGATGAGGAAACTGAGGCAAACAAGTGAATTGCCCAGGGTCACACAGCTAGTAAGTGTCTGAGGCCACATTTGGACTTAGGTCTTCCTGAAGCTAGGTCCATGCTCTATCCCCTGCAGCACCACCTGGTTTCTACCAAACTGCTTCCCAGATTCCTAAGCAATTTTTGTCAAATAGCTATTTCTTGACCTCAAAGCTTGGATCTTTGCCTTTATCAAACGTTAGATTACTATGGTCACTTACTACTATGTATTGTGTACCTAATTTATTCTACTGATCTACCACTCTATTTTTTAGCCAGTATCAGATTCTTTTGATGATTACTACTTTGTAATACAATTTGATATAGGGTCCTACTAGGCCACCTTCCTTCACATTTTTTTTTTCACTGATTCCCTTGATATTCTTGACCTTTTGCTCTTCCAGATGAATTTTGCAATTATTTTTTCTAGCTCTGTAAAGTAATTCTTTGGTAGTTTGGTTGGTACTGAAGAAGTAAATTAATGTAGGTAGAATTGCCATGTTTATTATATTGGCACAGCCTACCCATGAGCAATTAATATTTTTCCAGTTGTTTAGATCTGACTTTGTGTGAAAAGTGTTTTACACAACTCTGAGGTACCACATCACACCTATCAGATTAACCAACATGACAAAACAGGAAAATGATAAATGTTGGAGAAGATGTGGGAAAATTGGAACCCTAATGCATTGCTGGTGGAGTTGTGAAATGACCCAACCATTTTGGAGAACAATTTGGAACTATGCCCAAAGGGCTACAAAAATGTGCATACCCTTTGATCCAGCAATAGCACTTCTAGGGCTATATCCCAAAGAGATCAAACAAATGGGAAAAGGACCCACATGTACAAAAATATTCATAGCAGCTCTTTTTGTGGTGGCAAAGAATTGGAAATTGAGAGGATGCCCATCCATTGGGGAATGGCTGAGCAAGTTGTGGTACATAAATATAATGGAATACTATTGTGCTGTAAGAAATGATGAACAGGCTGACTTCAGAAAAACCTGGAAAGACTTGTATGGTCTGATGCTGAGTGAAGTGAGCAGAACCAAGAGAACACTGTACACAATAACAGCCACGTTGTGCAATAACTAAGATTGATAAACTTAACCCTTCTCAGCATTACAAGGCTCTAAGACATCTCCAGAGGCCTAGTGATGGAAAATGCTGTCCACATCCAAAGAAAGAACTATGGAAGTTGAATCACTATCTTTTTTTTTCCTCTTCTGTTGAGTTTTGTTTCCTCTTTCTGACGGTTCCTCCTATTGGTTCTAATTTTTACTTACAACTTCACTAATGTGAAAATATGTTTAACAGGAATGTAAATGTATAGCCTATGTCAGATTGTGTGCTGTCTTGGGGAGGGTGGTGGGAAGGAAGGGGGAGAAAAATTTTAAACTCAAAAGCATATGGAAGTGATTGTTGATAAATCAAAATAAATTAATAAAAGAAAAGTGTTTTATAATTGTGTTCATGTAGTTCCTGGGTTTGTCTTGGCAGTTAAACTCCCAAATATTTTGTAATGTCTGCAGTTATTTTAAATGGAATTTCTCTATCTCTTCCTGCTGTACTCTGTATATCCTGCAGCTTTGCTGAAGTCGTTAATTATTTCAACTAGTTTTTTGGTTGATTCTTTAGGATTCTCTAAGTATTACTATCATATCATCTGCAAAGAGTGATAGTTTTGTTTCTTCACTACCTATTCTAATTCCTTTAATTACATTTTCTTCTCTTATTGCTATAGCTATCGTTTCTAGTACAATGTTGAAATAATAGTGGTGATAATGGGCACCCTTGCTTCACCACAATCTTATTGGGAAGGCTTCTAACTTATCTCCATTACAGATAATGTTTATTAGTGGTTTTAGATAAGCACTACTTATCATTTTAAGGAAAGCTCCATGTATTCCTATGATTTCTAGTGATTTTAATAGGATTGAGTGTTGTATTTTATCAAAAAGCTTTTT